ACGGAGTCGGAAAAGGCAGCAATCTCCGGAAGCAATCTCCAATGCAATTGTTTTTTGATTCTCAAATACATAAAACTCCACATTCGAATCGACCACATCGTGAGGCAAACGATTACAATTCTCTTTTGAAATTGTTATTTTAACACGATGACAACAACAACCCATGTTATAATATAAAAGTGAAGATATGATCCGCTCAGGTGAGCTGCATGTGATGAAAGAAATTGCCAAAAAGAAGCCTGAGAAAAATTCGGGTTTCGACGCCTTTCAAAAGTTGACATGTTTTATATAATTGTGTCGATTCTCACAGCTCGATTTGAAATTGGGCCAAAAGTTCTTCTAACACATTTTACTTCCTAATATAAATGTATTTCCACAGCCCCAATAGATATTTGTATGTATAATTTTGTGAAAACTGGAACTCTAAGTTTGAATTAAGTTGGAGACAAATTCTTCTTCAAAGGCGATGATGAAATATCTCAAATCATCTCTATTTGTTTTATTGTTGTTTTAACAAAACAACAAAAAAAAAACTTAAAGCTCATAATTATTACAACTTCAAGTTAATAAATTGGCCAAGTCGCCATTGTTTGTTTTTACCAGGAAACTCTTTGAAAACTTTGAAAGGTTTTACCAATATACTACGAAAAACTCAGATAAATACAACAAATCGACAGAACCTTTCTTATTTGACTTACAGCAATTTCAGACACTTCGATTATGAAAAAAGGGCTTTTAGTTTGTTTTGACTTAGTAGCAGATTTGTCACTTGTTTCCCTCGGAAAATACGGCTTGAAAGCACTTAGTTGGAACCATGATGATTGCTACAAGGAGTGCATGTGGCTAAAACCAGTTTTGTTTAATTTCTAAATGTTGAGAGCTTGAGAAAGCGAATGTGAATTAACTGAAAGGGAGAAGAGTTATTCTGAAATATCGTAGGTTTTAAATTATCGGCGAGGATTTAAAAAATCGGGGGTAAACTTGTCTTTTTTTTTTTTTCAGCCATATTAGAAAAAAAGCTTTAATTTCATTTCGTCACTTCAGCTGCCCGCACCAGTTCAGCAAAAAAAAGGATAGAAATTCTCGATAAGGTTGTTGAAATACTTTAGTTTCTAATGACTGTAAATATATGGAAATCATGTGCATCATGTGCACTGCGGTAGAAGAAACGAATATAGGTGATCTTCGCAGTTATGAACACTACTGATCTGGTATTTGAAATAAGGCCTGAAAGTTTATTTGGATTCAACATAATGACCAGCTCCCAGTTGGCATGTTAGCTCAGTTGGTAGAGCGTTGCACCGGTATCACAGAGTTCATGGGTTTAAATCCCGTGCGGGCCTGATTTTTTTTCAGGCCTTATTTCAACTACTAGTTTAGTAGTTAGTTTCAGCAAGAAAATAATAATAATATAAAAAATCATTAACTTCTTTGTCTAATAAACAAGTTTACCTCTAGGACTTGTGCCTCAAAATGTCTGGTATTCTTGGAAAAATTCTGAAGCTAATAACTCAGCAGGTTTAGCCACTATTACTAAAAAAACTAGAATATTATATAGGGAATAAAGACAATCTAACCTGAGTACGATTTGGCTGCAAGAGATGTCAGGAAGAGCAAATGGAAAATTGCGGACATGATGGCTTCTGCGCGATCGAATGATCCGCAGTCATCTGCTAGGAATGAGTCTGACACTGTAAAGTGAAGTGAGTTTTTAGTTTTGTTTGTGATAAAGGATTTTTCCTGTGTGTCATATGTGAGGTAATTTATATGATAGTGGGCTGCTCGTGTCTTGATCCAATGGCTTGGTACAATTGGTAAGTGTCTCCAAACGATATCGTCCTAATTTCGAGTTTTTTTGTTTGTTTAAATAAAAAATCTGTCAGCAAGCAGAGTAAGATAAGTGCGACCTTTAATTTGCAAACTTAAGAAAGATTGCTTCATTAACTTGCTCGTGTGATCCGGGAGAACACAAATATACATAAAATCGCCCTTGATTTTGGAGTCTCAGAGACGAATTGCATTAGAGCAAATTAACATATTATCCAATTTTTCGCAAGTCAAATATTGGCAATAATTTCGCGTTTTCCAAATTTTGGCCGCGGTCGCATGAAACCAAAATCCCTTGACCAAAAGTCCACTGATTGATCCATATGTCAATCACAAACCCATCTTGCTCTAGAAGAAATTGAAAAAAGTCTCGCGCGAATTGCTACACAAGAACGGATCATTTTTTCCTCCTGACCTTTATGCGTTGTGGTTGACGCTTGCGTTACTTCTGATGGCTTCGATACTTGCGATGGGAGGAGAATTTCCCGTTGAAGCTATTTGTTCTCCAAATTGCTGTCAGTATAACCGTGCTCAGGGTACGAATCACAGACATTTGAGTAAAAGTGGAGCTCAGATGCGTTTCCCTCAAAAGAAAAATGGTCAGATGAACGCAGAAAATCCTGCCATCGCACGCCAAATACAAGCGGACTAAAGTATTTTTTTCCTAAAGAAATTTTATCCAGAGATATCTTGCATAACATGACAGCTTAGCGGTTAAAAAAGAAGATTGTTTATTTTGCCAAAATTTGGAAACCTCTGAGGCAGGACGTCGGGTCCTTTGAAGATTGGCGAAAATTTTGCAACCACGTTATACGGTCGTCAGAAGCCTCAATCGTTTGTGCTGCAGGCTGCATTTAAAAGTCTTGATCAGGGAAAAATTGTCAAAGACGAAATTTCACAAATACACGTTCTATAAAAATTGTGAAAAAAGTTAAGATAAAAATTAATTTCACTGAGATTTTCCTTGACATCGGTGCCGTTGACAAGTTTTATTTTCTAATGTATCAGCGGACGATTTGAGTCTCCCTGTCTCGCAATATTCACATATCAAGCCTTTTTTTAAAGGCACATTCAAAAGTGGTATCTGTTCAGCTACCACCGTTGTGGTTACAAGTGCCTATGTACACCAAATTCCAGTAGAAATCATGTTATTAAATATTAATAATTTACACGTAAAAGCATCACAGAAGGTCAAAACAGATGGAATTTTGACAGTGCGCTCTATTAGTAACTTGCACTCGTGTTGCAAGTTTGCATTCGTGTTACATGAAAACTGCATTAGTTTTTAGCCAATCAGAAGCGCGTAATTATTTCATGTATACCAGAAATGGTATAATTACAGTGCGTGCTGTAAAAAGTCAAGTCAGTGTCAGTAACCTAACAAGCCCCACCTGAATAGAAACGTACTGCGAGCTCTTATTTCTCGAAATTCCTCAGGAAATCTATATTTATGGGAAGACAGTTACTCACACACACTTCCCAGATTACAGACCATCAGAAAGTGTCTTTCAAGTATGAATATACGCATTCTTAGTCGTCGAAAACCACGAACGTTCCACTTTTAGGCGCAGTGAGATATTAATATTCATCTATTATTAAAAGACTTTGTTTGAAAGTCTGGGATGAAAAGGTGAACTTGTGTTGCAAAACAGGCGCTTCTGCAAAGAAGCGAACATGTGTTACATTAAAATAAATTGGAAAAACATTTTTTTTAGTGTTGTTTAAATTTTCAGGGTCACCTCTCTTTCGACGCCGGCTTCAAAACAACATTGCAGACTCCTCTGTGTGTTTCTTCAGCTGTTGTTTCGTATCTGCAGCCATTTTAGACATTCTACTTTTCTTTCAGAGTTCTCGCTTTAAGTCTAAATGAAAGAAACAATTGACTTTCTTTCACAAGGTATAGTGATCTAAATATTGGCAACTCTCAAGGCTTCTTAAACTTTGATTTATGTCTCGGGTAATATCGTTTAAACTGGCCACTTAAGATAATTTAGAACCGTGACACCTTTCTCTCATTTGAAACTTTTAGGAAATTTGTCACTTTTTCATTTCATGATGTCAGTTGCAAAAGGCCACTCAAGGACGTTTTAATGAGGATATCAAGAGATAACCGGAGATGAAAAATGGTGTGTAATTGCTTCCTTTCTGCTGACAGCTAACCCGTAATTTTATCAAAATCTCCTCTGAATAAGGTGCTTTCAATCCCACGATTTAACATGTACATTCATTATTCAAATTCGCGGATCGTAAAAGAGATTATCCATTTAAACGACTGTGCAGGCGAGTGCATCATTTTTTGCGTTTGGCAGGGCGTGAACTGAAAACATTCCATTGGTATTCCAGGTCGCATAATTGGGTGTTGTTGTTGTTTTTTTTCTAGTCAGTTCTCTACAAACGAGTTCTTTTAATACATCAGATAATCAGCGACCTTAGATATGAGAGTCTCAATGGGGTGATGAGGGATCCCTTAGACAAAAGGAAATAAAAAAAAATTGGCCAAGAAAATCAATCCGTTAATATATCAGAGAACCTGTCGTATCCAGATTGTAACCGTGCCGGAAATGGGTCGATCCCAAGATTGATTAAGTCGTCTTGATAGTAATAGCATTTGTTTGTTAAGAGGGCCCACCGTATACGGTTGTCAGAGCCTACATTCATCAGTTCTATAAAGCACAACTATAAGTTCTTTATGGTAAAAAAGATTGGGGTTTTTCATCGTAGTAAATAACCTTTTCATTATAAGAGAGTAATATTATGGTTTGTCTCACGATGTGGTCACTTTGGATGTGAATGGCGACGTTCGACTGCATACTGTTAGGCTTCTTTTAGCCATGAGGTTGATTGAGTACGCGTCACCTATAAGCTGCTGTGCATTATGCTGTGTGGCATATGCTTTTGGAAAATTCAATAAGGACGGAAGTCGTGTCATGCAGATATCCTTACAAGATAAACAGGTGGTGAAAAATTTCATGATAGACTTCTACACAAGAAAGGGGCGAGACAACAAACGATATAACTAAATTTACATACAGCACGTAACAAAGGAGCGTAATTAACAAAATACCGAAGAGGGAAAAAAAGAGTACACGATGACAAGTAAATGAGAAAACCGAAGCAAATCTTCTTACTGAATCGTTCTGAATCTAATCTTAACATTTAAATGAGCTTTCCGTGTTTTTCTTTTGGTTTCAATAAACCAAAATGTAACCCATGGCTTTAATGTGTTTATCGCCATTATCCGGTTCACGAGTAGCCTCGTTTCCACAGGTGTTATAGGGATCATATTGTCCTCCTGTACCAAATCCAATCCTGGAGTCGCAAGAGAGGCAGTTATCCTGGTTGTTAGTAGCGGTGCCGATTCTTGCTTTGGAAAAATCAGACCCACCACAGATAACATTGAACCCTTCTGTGTTACAGTAACGCTGCAACGAGGCCTCTGAGCCAATAAGCTTCTTCCACGTGTCACGACCCAATGAGGTGTTTCGGTATTTCTCGTCAGCGATTAATGAGTAAAGAGAGCTGGCCTTCATATTGATTACAATGAATCTGATCTGTCCACCGATCTTCATACCGAGGCAGATCTTGGAGAAGGATGTGTCCCAGTAAGTAGGCAGCTTGGTCTCTTGTGAGTCGAATCCAGTCTCCCCTCCGGCAGTGTTGTATTCAATTTTATTACTCCAGTAACCAGAATCGTAGTGAAAGGTACTCTGGGAGAATAGTTTATAATATGATTAAAATTTATTACTGGTTTTTTATTTATCCGTCGTATTATCCGGCTCGTTTTAAGACAGTTTGTGACGATCATAAATTTCTCTTCCCAAATTAGCTGTTTGTTTTCGCTAGGATTTACTTTGCAATGAAGGGAAGCGAATGATCATGAAATATGTATGACTTGGTGAAATGACGTTTGGCATTATTTCGTCATCAATATTCATGCAGAGTTAATTGGAGCCAATTTAGGTAGCGGTCATTATTTATCACCAGGGAGGGACTGGAGGATTTTTTTCGTGTCACAATCATATATTTTACCCCCCCTCTCTTGGGCTCTTTTGTATTATAATAATCCCCTCTCATTGGCAGTCAAATTTATATAGTCTCCACCCCCTTATACTCCGTTAGTGACAACTCATCCCCCAAAAATCCTACGACCCAATCGTTTACGTTGTCGATGAATACCTCCTTGTGAAAGATCATGATACTTAATCGATATAAGATCGATACCACATGGTACCTTGTTGCCGTTAATCTTCATGACTGGCGTCCATCCTCCATCTCCGCATCCAAAATCTCCCATGTGACAAAGAACTGTCGTTGGCTGTGAGCCCAGATGAAGAGAAACCAGTCTACTCACGTTTGATCTGTTGATATACAAGAGGAGTAGATACATAAGTAATTGACTCTCTTATGATGCCAATCTTTATCATTTGTACTTATTAAACTTCCTGACTGATACGTCTCTGAGCTCTGTTCTTAAGATCCAACGTGGTTTTAACCAGCTGGCCACCTCTGCGTCTCCAGTGTGACAGAAAATAGGATTTTAGAAAAGATCTGTTCAAATGACCAAACAGTGAAAGCCTCTTACTTGTTTGCTTCGTACACTTCCTTGCATGATTTTACTGCTGAAAGATAGAGTGTGATGTCAGAACCGGATGTATTCTACTGTTAAGAAAAGTATGGAAGAGAGAGACAGTAAGATATTTAAAAAATATTCATGAATTACCTTTCTCGCAAAATTCTCCCAAGAAACTTTCTTTACAAAGACAATCAAAAGTGTTGGAGTTAAAATTCGGGATGCAGGTTCCTCCGTTTTGACACGGCGATGAAGAACATGGAGACTGAAAGAGAGGAAATGACTGTTAAGACCACGCAGTGAATACTTGAACAGTAGTTGCGATAGCTGTGAATAAGCATACCTCGTCGAGAACAAGTACGTTTAAATACTTTCCCTTGCAAATGCCTTGTGTTAGAGTTTTAACACAATGGTTAAAGTGTTCTTACCCGCAGAATGGAAAAATGATGCGAACTCGTGTTTTTGTGGTAGTTCTCAGCGTTTCTGTTCTTATCGGAGGACAGTAATTCGCACCAAAGCTTTCCTTCTGTTCCACGAGAAGAGGCCATGTTTAAAGAGAGGCATAAATTATTTCGAAGGCACGCCAGAGTGCAATGAAACATGTCAAATATCGTGAACTTTCTGATCTGAGTAACGTCCAGATAATGGAACTCCTCTTTAAGAAAATAGCTTTGTTCAGCTGCCTGGTCAGAAGGGCCCCAATCTTGTTCAGCACTTTTCATTCCTGGATTGAGGAGAATAAAATGGATTTTAACCAAATTGCTATTACAATACTTAAACTGAGACAAGAACTCTCTGCATGTCTCTCCCTGGTGGAGTAAGGCTTCTTGCTGCATTTGACATTTGATAAATGTGTTCGATTGTAAAGCCTTGCCCCTTTCTGTCTCCGAGAACGGAGACGGAAAAGGCAACAATCTCCGATGCAATCGTTTTCTGATTCTCAAATAAATTAAACTCCACATCCGAATCAATCACATCGTGAGGCAAACGATTATAATTCTTTTTTGAAATTATTATTTACCACGATGACAAACCACAACCTATTTTATGATATAAAAGTGAAGATATGGTCCGCTAAGGTGAGCTGCATGTGATGAAAGAAATTGCTAAAATGAAGCCTGAGAAAAATTCGGGTCTCGACGCCTTTCAAAAGATGATATATTTATATAATTGTGTCGATTCTCAAAGCTCGATTTGAAATTGGGCCAAAAAAAAATTAAACATCTTACTTCCTAATATAAACGTATTTCCACTGCCCCAATAGATATTTGTATGTATAATTTTATGAAAACTGGAACTCTAAGTTTGAATTAAGTTGGAGACAAATTCTTCTTCAAAGGCAATGATGAAATATCTTAAATCATCTCTATTTTTAAAAAAGGTAACAAAACAAAACAAAAACTTAAAGCAAATAATTGATACAACTTCAAGTTGATAAATTATCATTTATAGCTCATTCAGCCAAACCGCATAACGGCCAAGAAGCCATTGTTTGTTTTTATCAGGAAACTCTTTGAAGACTTTGAAAGGTTTTACCAATGTGCTACAAAAAAAACTCAGATAACTACAACAAATCGACAGAACCTTTCTTTGATGACTTACAGCAGTTTCAGACACTTCGATTATGAAAGAAGGGCTTTTAAGTTATTGTGACTTAATGGCAGATTTGACAATTTGTGTTAGTATAAGTACATGAATGTCTTACAACACACAAGAAACGAGCGAAACCGGTTTAGTGTCTCAAAGTTTGAAAATCGAGGGGGACCGCTCTTACACACACTCTCTTAATATTCTTGATCAGGGAAAAATTACCAAAGACGAAATTTCACACACGTTCCATAGAAATTGTGGAAAAAGTTAAGATAAAAATTAATTTCATCGAGGTTTTCCTTGCCTTCAGCAAGTTTTGTTTTCCTATGTATTAGCGAACGATCTGAGTCTCCTTGAGAATTGCACTCGGCAAAGAAAATATGCCAAAGTAATCTTAGATTTACGATTCTACAGACAAAAGCCTTGGTAAAATTGAAGAGTGACCAATGAAAATGACAAGAATAAGAATCTCACACTATTACAGTTGAAAAACTCTCTTTAATCTTCTTTCCATTCAAACTTTCGAATCGTTATGATTCCAACCATTACCTTTAGAACGAGCGAGCTCTCTATTCCTGACTATTTTTATTTCGTTTTGTTCTCAACTAAAATGCACCCAATTGCTCTGATATGTTTATCTCCATTATCTGTTCTGGAGCGAGAAGCCTCGTTTCCACGAGTGTTGGAGTCATCGAATTCCCCTCCAGAACCAAACCCAATTCTGAAGTCACAGGAGTCGCAATCATTCTGGTTGTTGGTAGTAATGCCGATTTTTGCTTTGGAGTAAGGAGACTCGTCACATATAACATTGTACAATTCCTTGTTACAGTTATGAATACCCTTTAGTAGAAGATCATGACACTTAATCGATAGAAAATCGATTCCGCAAAGTACTTTGTTACTGTTAATCTTCTTGACTGGCGTCCATCCTCCATGTCCGCATTCAAATCCCCCATGTGACAAAGAACAGAGGTTGGCTCTGAGCCCTAAAGGATGGAGACAAGTTTACTCACGTTTGATCTGTTTAAGTGCAGCTGGAGAAAGAACAGAGGTCCTTTTCTCTTTTGATCAGAGGAATTCATATCATTGTTTATTTTTTTTTCAGAGGGCATGGTAACGAATCCTGCAATCTGATTGGTTCTTTACCCGGTCAGTATTTTCCTATCTCTGCCCACGGGCCACGGTAACGCTTTCGTGAGTCGCCTAGTACATCCCTTCATTCGTTGCCATTTTTCATAAATAGATCTCGTTTTACCGGCTGGGCAGTATTTTTAAGTATTTTCAAGTCCGTTCAATTTGGACATTTGTGCCGTAAGCTGCAAAACAGAAACTGAAGGAATTCAATGAGAGAAGGCCGTATTAAATCCTCATGTGTCTCGTTGGAGTGTATCATCCGAATTGAGTTTTTGTGGAGGAAAGACCAGATTTACACACGCCATTGCAGTAAACAAACGAGCAAATTCTCACAACTTCGAAATAAAAAGCTCGAATTTACTTACAAATACTTTCCTCGCCGTCTACTTAATGAACAGAGATAAATATTCGTACATGAATTAATCGTTGATGAGAGTGAATAATAATTTCCGTAAGATCATAAACTGTTTTTGAAGAAAACATTGTGGTGGCAGTCGTTGCCGAGCTAGTTTCGTTGTTTTTCAAAAGTGTGCATGCGCTTTTTTTTTTCTTTTCTTACACGCTTTCTAATTGACAAATGTCAGATTGTGACAGATACTTGTAAAAATAATTTTTCAAAGTTTTTTAGGAAGCCTTTTAAATCACCTTCATCATTACGCAAATGAAAATGTTTCGGTGAAGCATCTCTCTTTAATTTGCATCACCTCAATTTTACGTATGATAAAATTATTGCAATAAATGAGTTTCAACGAGCAAGGAGTTAATGCCACTTACTTGTTTGTATCATAAACCTCCTTGCATGATTTTACAGCTTAAAGATAGAAACTGATGTTAGAGATAAATTGTACTGTTAAAAATGGAGAAGAAATGAAGAAGGTAGAGCTATAAGTAACTCAAAGCAGACTGGTTTCGCAGGATTGAAAAGCTTTTGTTGAAAGCGTAAAATTGATTTGAAAATTAAGTTTCTCTCAATTTTCCCACTGATTCTTAGAAAAAACTGAATCTAGTTTAATAGTTTTTTTCAACTTAAAATGGGATCTAAAAGAGAATAATACTGTAACATCCCATGGTAGACTACGGTATCCCAGATTTGTTGTGGGTGAAGTCCGAATTATCGAGTCTGAATTCGAGCTCAAGTTAGATTTTGAACTTCGAGTTGAACTTTTAATTGAACTTCAAGTTTGGAGTCAATGAAGATAATTCAGTTTATTCGCAACTTGACAATTTATTGCAGTAAATTTAGACTAAATGAGCTTCTGAGTTGAAACATTTTGCAAACCGCAGCTGCAATTACAACTACTGGGAGTACCTTTCTCGTAATATTCGCCCTCAAAGCCCTTTTTTACAGACATATTCAGAAGTGTTATCTGTATACACTCGATTGCAAAAACGTTGACACGCAACAAGCGTTTATAATGAACGATGAGACTCAGCAAAGAGCTATCCAAACTTTCCCGGAAGAAAACGTTTTATCATGAGAAAAGATTTTCCATGAATAATGAGAGAAGTAAATCACTGATTGTGTATCTGTGCGAGCATTTCCCATAAAGGTGATGGGTCTTGTCGTTCGTGAATCAAGCTATTAGGTGTCAACGTTTTTGCAATCGAGTGTAGGTTATCACACAGCTACCACCGTTATAGCACGGGAAGGGAAAACATGGAGACTAAAACAAGAAGAAAAGCAAACCAATCATCTTGCACTGCACTCGTAGTTCCAATGATTAATAAACAGCAAGAGATTACATACCTATCCAACTTTACGGCAGAATTAAATTTTTAATTTATCAACGTTTCTTCATAATAAGGCCCGGTAAGAAAGTTTGTGAAAGTTACGAGTGCAATATGGTGTTGGGTAAGCACGGGTGAAATTTTTTAAAGACAGAAAAATTGCATCAGCCCGTAGGGCGAGTGCAGTTTGAAGTCTTAAAAAAATTTACAAGTGCTTATTTACACCAAATTCCCATCGAAATCGTCTCATTGCGTTTGCCAGAGCGTGAACTGAAAATAATTCATTGGTATTCCAGGTCGCATAATTGGGTGTTGTTGTTGTTTTTCCCAGTCAGTTCTCTACAGACGAGTTCTTTTAATACATCAGATAATCAGCGACCTTAGATATAAGAGTCTCAATGGGGTCGAGGGGTGCCCTAGACAAAGGAAAGGGAAAAAACATGGGCAAGAAAATCAACCCGTTAACATATCAGAGAACCTGTCGTATCCAGATTATAACCGTGCGGGGAATGGGTCGCTCCCAAGATTGATTAAGTCATCTTGATAGTAATACCATTTGTTTGTTAAGAGGGCCCACGAAAGCACAACTAAAAAAACTGTAGTTTGTCATCGTAATAAATAATCTTTTCATCATAAGAGACTATTAGTGTCGTTTGTCTCACGATGTGGTCACTTCGAATGTGGATGGCGACGTTCGACTGCATACTGTCAGTCTGCTTGAGGCCATGAGGTGCATTATGCTGTGTGGTATATGCTGTTGGAAAATTCAATAAGGACGGAAGTTGTGTTATGCAGATATCTTTACAAGACACACAAACGGTGAAAATTCACGATAGACTTCAACATTATCGAGTTTTTCCTCGAAATCGGTGCCGTTGTCGAGTTCTATTTTCAAATGGATCGGCGAACGATTTGAATCTTTCCTGACAAGTGCTCTTCCTTCAAAAAATGTCCGAAAGACGTTCCAGCCTTACGAGACAACCGAAAAAAGGCTCGAGTAAATTGAAGAGTCACTGATGTGAAGAACATAAAAAAACCCTATCTTTTAAGATTTTTGAATAAACCTTTTTATTTATTACTGAATCGTTTTGAATCTAATCTTAACATTTAAATAAATTTTACGTGTTTTTCTTTGGTTTCAATGAACCAAAATGTAACCCCTGGCTTTAATGTGTTTAGCCCCATTATCCGGTGAATAAGAAGAAGCCTCGTTTCCACATGTGT